CGCGTTATCTTGATATACTCACGAATACATAATATGGTTTATGTCCATAATCAACGTTTCATAAATGGCACTTAAGCATCCACTTGTTGATACCATTTACGGCCATTGTATGGTGTTACACGTGTAAAACGGTACACACCGATGCCGTACTAGCACGCACGGGTGACTATGTTTAATATCGCGTATGCACGCACGCGGATTTAAAACTGCACAAGCACGTCGCCCTACATCCTTAGAAAAAAAATATATCATCGTTGTTTCGACTTCTAACGCATTTACGAAAATTATTGATCGAGGCACGTTTTTAATCACGCAATTATCACATTACGCCCCGCGTCGTTTCCGTGTGTTAATTAAAATTAATTTTTGATTTCATTAAATTATTACGTTACTTCCTAGGTGTGTATTATATTAACGAGTAGACTAGAAAATTTTGAGGAAGAAGATGTGCTATAAATGTCATTGTTCTAAATACCTCGTTATTATATTTTATTTGCGCACTCGTTATTTATAAGTAAATTTATTTTACTCATTATCTATTAAGTAAATTTTTATTTCACATTCGTCATTATCACAAATTGAATTTTTATAATTTGATAATAACTTGAATTTTTTAAATTTGATTATTAACGTTCTAGTAATTTCTTAATTCATTGTATCATATTTTTTATTATAGTACATTTTCAATCGTAGAAAAAACACAATAATTTTAATATGCCAATTTTTGCCAACTGATTTGCAGAATCGAATTTTTACAGACTGACGCGAACGTTGTTATCCATGCATACGAATAACATTTAAATCGAATATAAATTTGAGTATGTATGAAAGCGTAGCAGCCTCTCAATCACATTCTGTTAAATCTGTCAGAGAAAAAGAGAGAGATAACTTCTCGTTATCATAATTTATATGAATCAGATGATAATGATGGACGATTTTACAAGCTAATGTACGATGTCGATAAAAAGCATCGAAACAAATATAATATCCGCGCATAAAAAGATCATACTCCGATTCGCGTGCAAAACTGAAAAACACATACATACGGCCCGCACTTCTTTCCTGAGCAAGAGTGATACAAGCACGAGTTCTGAAAAAAATGCCACACGCGTAGTAAACACATAAATACGCCTCGAATTGTGGAAAAGTACCGTCGCTCGAATTCGATTCCTCGCCGCGAGCGGAATTGGAATGCATCTTATATCGCGTCGCGATTTATTCCGCGGAGTTTTTTTTGAGGCCTCGTATCGTAAATATAACGAGTACAGGGACGTTGGGGAGGAATAAAATACCGAGATTGTACCGCGAGATTGTAATTATATGTATCTTTTTTTGTTTTTTAATTCCCTTATTAATGATCGTCGATCGATCGACACATTCGAGATGATACATCTTGGAATTATGCGTATCGAGAGGTGACGATGGATGCTTCGGTCTTGGCGTGTATACCTATTTAGGTAGGTACGAACACTCGCACCATCTAGATTCCGGCGAACGCCGAGCACAGCGATGGCGTATTGATCTTTTTAGTGACATAGCGTCTCCACAGACACAATCCAACTCCCTCTCCCCCGCCCTGCCCCGCTCCATCCCCTCGACGCGGAGACTAAAGGTCTATATTTCCTCTGGGACAAATATGTTTCACTATTCCTATAAACACAATTTGCCAGGAACATCGCGCTGCGAATATATGTATAAATGCGCAATGTCGAAGAGGGAGGAGGTCGGTTAAAGTGTCGGTACGCATCCGATATCTCCCGTTGCGCTGGAGGTGAACGCGTAACGAACGCGTCGAGATGAAACATATTTTCAGATTAGGGGTGCGAATGTTGCGCCTTAGCAATTTTGGAGTCTCAAACAGCTCAGATTTTCCCTACAAGTTTTACGTCCGGGAAAGAGATGCCCGAATTATGACCGAGGTATTTATCGCGCGTCAGCTGACGTAGAGATCCGATTAGGTCTGGATCAGCTGATTCGGTCGGCTTCGTAAAGAAACGCTGCAACTGCCAGTCGCTTATATCACGTTAAGCCGAAGGCTGCCGGCGCTTTGCGAGAGCGCGGAACTTACGGTGGACGGGAACGACTCGCGAACGACGAAGGTCCCGGGGAGGGACGGTATATAGGGGGAGAAAAAAATAAACGGCTCGTAAGGCCGTGCATATGCTTTTCGGAGCGCGTGCAGACAAGGCGTCCCCGTCGGCGGACGACGACGCCGCTCGACGAAGCCGCCACTCCGTCTAGCTCGACGTCTACTCTCTGTCAACCGTTTTATATTTAATCCGGGCCGCTTTAGTAAGCAATAAACAAACACTGTATCACATAAGCGCTGCTCAAATTAGCCTCAATACCATTTCAAACGGCCATCTCGCATTTATGAAGATGACCGGGGATGGTGGCCCACCCGAGAGAGTTCCTCTGTACGACGGGTCGGGAGGAAAAAAGGGGACTCGCGGCGATGAGAGCGATGGGGTAGGAGGGAGAGAGAGAGAGAGCTGCCACGTGGAAGGGATGCGCGATGACGTCATGAGATGCCGTGGCACCGCCTACCGGTATGCGATGGGCGGGAATCTCGCTACGATTTACGATCTACCACGCCACCGACATCTAGTGTCAGTCGGGTGAAGTTACGTGGCTCCATGGTGGCCATTATACGCTCGCGATTGGCCAGGATCGCGGCACAACGCGGATCAGATGACGCTTTAAATATGGATTTTTTTTGTCCCCAGTCGCGAAATCGTGACGAGAGGCTCGCGTAAATCGGGAATTGATTATCGGACGGTACCGGGAGTGACCGTCTTGCGACGTTAATGCCCATTTCGAGACGCGCGCTTGTTTACGGCGGTAAATCTATATTTGCCTAATCGAGAGAGCAGACGCGAATGGGGTGGAGAGAAAAAAGCGCGATTGCATTTTTCTTTTATAAATTATTGATAAAAATATTCCTCTCCTTTCTCGTACATCACGTGCTTCATGTCGCGAGTTATGTGAATTTGTTCTCATTATGACAAGTTTTTCCAATATTTCGGATAGAATTATCGATGTATTTTGGACACGTAGAGAAAAAGATAGAAAATGTGGAATGTCAATTCGTTTTTCATTTCGGCATCTATATGTTTACATGAGCAAATGTCGAATATTAAATAATTTAGAGAGAGAAAGAGAGAGCCACATTAATTTTTTATGTCTCGTATTTCTCTTCAAACTTGATATATGTATAAATATACGGAATACTTTTTGGAAATTTTAAAATGTAAGAAAGAATTGCAAACTGATAATTATTTATTTCGAATTTGTTATTACTCTTAAGCTTGAGATACTTTTTACAAGGAATTATATAAATTTCAAAATATTAAATGAAAATTATTAAACATATTAATACGTATTATTAAGAATTTTATCGAAAATAAAGAATTATACAAAATACTTGTAATAAAAGAAAAGGATTAAGATTCTTTCTAAAGTATAATATGTATGATACAAAGCAAGCTCCACACACACACACATGTATAATATTCTATATATTTATACGTATCTCTCTCTCTCTCTCTCTTTTCCTATATTTTTCAACAATTTCTATTTATAGAATTTATACTCTTCTGTAACTCTTATATTTTTTTTACATTTTGTGAAAATGATGCTATAAATATTGTAATTTATTTTTTTTATATTTTAGATATTTAAATAACAGAATATTTTTTCAATATTATGCTGTAATAATATGAATGTGATACAATGTCATACTTTAATTTTTCCTTTTATTAGACATTATCTTTAATTTGAAAGAAAAGATTTAATTACAATTCGAGAAAATATATTAATATACTAATTAAATATTTTGAAGCGATTTATATCACTTGAATTGAAATATTTTCACCGCATTGCAATGCAATAATTAAAATAAAATCAAAAGTGAAAAGAGAATAAAAATTTCTTACCAATTTTCATACAATCAGCAACAATGTCACTCTTACGGCCGAGTCTTAAACTGTTTCGATATTGGAATACTTGAAGGATAATTCCTGCAATGCCTGCGGAGTCCTAGGTTCCGACTTATCACCAGTAGAAAGTTTACAAATAGCCAATTGTCAGAGGACATTTAAACAGGACCTACATCAACATATGATACATTCTTATAAGAAACAAATCAATAAACTTGACAAATAAGTTTACAAATATCAAAATTAAATTTTCAATAAGAATCTCCACTTGATATTTAAATCATTTTGCGTAAAACTTAATTCAAAACAATATAAATATAAATATAAATGTAGAGATGACGATTACATACCATCATCGAGGACTGCACGTGCGTGTCAAATAAAAATGCGTATTACAAATGCTAGGCCAAGCAAGCAGTACAGCAAGTAGGATATAAAAATCCTATATATTTGATTCGAACGCGTAAGACTGTGAAACATCGACGTCTGCAAGACAAGCTCCGCGAACGGTTACGTGCTTTACGGCTGTTTTAACGAGCGTCGTTACACGCGATCCGGCACTAAACCAACCTGACAGAACGCGTAGCCAAGCTCGAAGCGTTTTACGGTCAAATTTATTACCTGCCACTTCCTTATATGATGTTACAATAACGATAATTGTCACTTTTAATTCAACCGTAAATCAGCGAGAAAGACATTTGCACAGCAATTTTAAATGCGACCGAGCTCGGCGCGAGGCACGAAAGATCGGGCCCTCTGTCGTCGAGCGAGTGAAATATTTTCCCCTAGTGTAAATCTCCGTTCGACTATATCGGTTTGTCGCTCGTGTCGCTTATCTCAAATCACCATAGATGGAGCCAGTGACTATCACTCGTACATTCATGCCTATGACTGTCATTCATTAATATACATGTATCATTCATGTATTCATTGACAAGTGCGAATGCTTATGAATGTAATCATTCATGCATTTATTCATTAAGTGGTACCGATTGGGAAAGAGGGGGAGAGATTGTAGAGACCTCTGTTGGATCCTCGAAGAGATTTGTCCTCTTATTTCGACGCATCTTGCATTACTTTCTGTAACCTTTCATTTTCAAAACATTCATTTTCGTTGTTAGGTATTTTCGAGCCGGTCGCATTATGTCCGAATATGTCATAACTGTTGGTTTTGAGGTAAATTGGTATTTTCTTTAAAGATTAAATATATATTTTTATAAGAACATTTAGGGAGAAAAAGGAAAAGAATTGAATCAATCATATATCTTTTGACAGTGCTTCAAGACGAGAGATTCAGGAGCGAAAAGTGAATTGAAAAATACAAAATGAAGGATATCTCTTTGTGAAGAATTAGGCAACTTATTAAAATGGCAAAACACATCAAATCCTGCGATAACTGGATTCAGATTCAAGTATATTAAAATTGATCAATTTCTAATAAACTTGCATAGTTCTCATATACAAGACTGTGCTATTTTTATATTTATATGGATTTATATTGTTCTTTTCAGGATTTGATAGGCAAACACATAATTGCCTTTGAAATTAGAGAGGATTATAAAGTTAACGATGGCAATGAATTTTCATTTTCACCAATTGTACAATTTAGCAACGAGGAATATTAAATATATTAAACATGAATAATTTTAAAGATAAAGATGATAGAGACGATGAGAAAGGATCTGTATCCCTTTATAAGCTTTGCAAAATTAAAAGCGAAGATAACAAGTTTGATCACGAATCAAAAGTAAATCAGATTTTATATTATTTATAAATTATGAATTATTTCTTCATAAAAGAGATATAATAGAGATAACATATAATATTTTTGATGTATTAAAATGAAAATACATCAATAAAATTAAATAAAACTTGCAGAAATACTTTATCGATATGTGAAAATCAAAATGAATGAAGTGTAATCTTTTTGCATGTTTTATCTAAAATGTAGAAAATTTTAATTATGAAATTATGTTATATTATTAGGTCATAAAATTTCTTGAGCAAAAAGTTGAAGAAATTGTTCCTGCTAATGGTCAAATTACCATTCATTATATCAGAATTTTGAAGACAAAGATGAACCTTTTTATTCAACTTATTCTTCTGAAAAGCCAAGAATGCTGCGTTTAGGCCAAGAATGCATTATATCTGATTTAGAGATTGGCATATATTACGCAGAACCATGAAATATTTTAGATACATCGTAATCTTGCTTATAAAACTGTCCACCACATTCCTACACAGTGAGGAAGTAGTATTTGTTGTCCATTTAATTAACTACCTTGATGATGGTTCTGCAGATACTTATCAAAATATTAAAATAGAAGAGAAGCAATATCTAAGCATATATTAAAGCCAGTAATATACATATATTTGTGGCTGCTAAGTTGCAAGTTTAATTTCAAACAGGCAATATGAAAGTAAGCAACATTATATGAGATTTATGTGCAAATATAATATGGTCATATCTCTATAATATATTTTTTTTGTAGATATAAAAAAATGATTGATTGCTTAGAAAATATGCAATTAAAAGATTATTTAGAAGAAAAAAAGATTAATTTAACTTTCAAACGTTTATATCAATCTTGAAATATATTATAACAAAATAGAGTTATCAAGTCATGTCTACATAGACGAATATCAATATCAACAGCTAAAAGTCATTACAAGTATGTGAATATATTAATTGATACAATATTTATTAATCATATATTAAATTAATATCATAAAATCATTTTTCCTTCTAGTATATATAAAATTAATATTTACATAACATTTTTTGTAACATTTTCTAGTAACAATATTTTGTAGCAATTATTCTCTATTTAAATTATTTTTATTTTGTAAATGATTATTTGATAATTTTTGTTATTGACTTGTATATACTTGCAATTTCAAATGATAAACATAAAACAATAATGTTTTAATGAAATAGGTAGCAAACGATCTACGGAATTAGTTCAGATAAATGGGTCCCTTAAATTTTTATGACTACTAACGTCTCACCAGAGAAGGTGTTTCACGACGTTTCTATCGATAAATCCACGCTCGCTGCGGGTGGCGGAACTGAAGAGACGAGATGCGAAGTCAAACGTATCTGGCAATGTCATCAGTTACATTTATGAGGCTGTGAAGGATAAGGTGAGTACCTTGAGGTTGCATCATCGTCACTTTAAATCCCGTTTGCCCGCTCGTAAAAGTCTTTGACGACTTTGCCGGAGTGCTGCCGGTACAGCACGAGCGAGTTGCCATAAAGTTAAGAAAGAGAGGTTTCCCCTCTATATACCCTTAATCGTGACAGAAAAGGGCTTGGCATTTATTTATCTACTTGTCAATAATCCTTAGTCATTACCCCTAACATTCTTTTATTACGCCCAATACGAATAATTCAATTATATACGATTTTATGTTATTATATGCGATTTATTTTTTATAATAGAAGCTTTTGAAACTTTTGATATACAGTTAATATTCGCATAATTTATATGCTAAATTTATAATCTTTACAATAATGAATAATTTTAATAAAAATATTTTCAATATTTCTTTCTTTTCGAAAAGAAAAAATATCACACATTGTAGTAAATATTTGATAAAGAAAGACAAATTTACTTATAGAATCATTATTACAGTATATAAATTACATCCCCCTTTATATGTATATCCTTAATTATGACAGAAAAGGATTTAACATTTATTCATTTACTTATCGATAATTCTTAATCATTATCCCCAAGTCAATCAATAATTCTTAATCATTATCCCTAATACAATATGAATAATTTAATTATGCGCTGTTTTTATATACTATGCAGCATTTTTATAGAAATGAAATTTTTGACATTTGCATAATTTATATGCTAAATTTATAATCTTTGCGATAAAATATTAGCAAAAATATTCGCAGTATTTTTTTTATTCTTAAAAAATGCCATACGCTGCGTCAATCAATATTTGAAGAAGAAAGAGAGATCTTTATTTATTTATAGAGTCATTAAATATATAGATACTGCGGGTACAAACTATAAGTTGCATTCTAAAATTTTTTATTTGAGACTTATATCCCACAGAGATCGGTCGTTGTCTAAATGAATAAAACATTGTTTTCGCGATGCGGGGCTTTATTTACGTTTCACGGAGTAAGGGACTTTAGGTACTCGAAATAAGCGAGTATTCGTTGCGAGTTCAGCTGGGTCGTTCATGAATTGGAAATATCCTACAATGTGACGACAAAACAACCTGCACAACGAGTAAACCGCTCTATATCGGTAAAGCGTCGTACGATTACAGCGATTGTGATGGCAGTGACCTATATCATTTATATATTTGCGGTTTGAGAACATCCTTAATATACAATAACGGAGAATTTTTTATAAAATCTTTCTACATGTTCGCAACTTCTGCTTTATTAAGTACAATAATACCTCAATTTCACTCAATTTAATTTAACGTGTGTCCCATACGATTTTCATGGTACACATCGATAGGAAATAAGCCATGTGGTGTAAAGTTGACATTACGTTACGAGACATTATATACCCAGCATCTGCTACTCTTTCTCTCTTTGCAGCTTTTATAGCTCTCCAAGGCATTATGTAATCTCAATTCTCTGTCAAAATAAATATAATAAAGCGGAAGAATGGAGCCATTACTGCGCATCAAAATTCTACGTGCCCGAGAGACGTGACGAAATCGAAAACCTAAACTGTCAGGGATGCATTTATAGACACTTCACCATTCACTTTTGACCTAAATATACTCGTGTCTATTACGATCTCTCGAGATGAAACGCATCGATTGTTGGAACTTTCCCACAGGAGAGAGAGTTGGAAAGTCTTTCTTTCGATCCCGCTCTCCAGCCTATCTATCGCGATGAACCGCGACGAAAGTTTTGCGCGTAAATCTCGCAACTGACGTTTCAAATATAGTACCTGTGCGGGGCGTTCTTCTTTTTCTTTCTTTTTTTTTTTATCGAAGGATCTTGCGGAACGTTTCCTGGCGCGTTATTAAGGTCAGCCACCTGCCGCTCGATGGAGCTCACTTCAGGGATGAACACTATTACACCCCTCCCATACCTATATATAAGGAAAAACTTTAGGGGTGCAACGGGGTTTGGTCCGACTGAACAAAGAAAATAAGAGATGCGAAACGGTGCGTCGTGGATGGCGGAGGACAAGAAAGATAGCAGAAGAGCGGCTTCCTTTCGGCGCGAAGGAAAAAGAGAGAGAAAGAGAGAATATGGGTGTGTGTGTGTACGAGGGAGAGAGAAGAGAGGGAAGGGAGGAAAGAGTCCCGGGACTTCTGGAGCCGGAGGAGAGAATAAAGGAAAAGCGAGAAAAATGTGTCTAACGTAGCAAAGGCAATTCTTCAGTCGGAGTTGCCGCCTTAATGCCCGTAGGAGAGAGGCGATTGGTTCTCGAGAAGAGCCCGCGGGAAAGATGGCCGCCATTTCCCTCCAACCACCCGTGGAAGTGCTCCCCTCCTGCCATTTATTCTCTCACTTCCTCCTTCGCTACCGCGACCTACGAAAGGAACCCCGTTCGAGGAATAAAGGGGGAGAGTCCGAGACGAAGAGACTCTTATTCTTATTAACTGTTTAATCTTTCTACGTGACGTACGAGACGCATTACCGCCCGCCGGGCTTGTTTATATTTCGTTGGATCACACCGCGAAGATGCGATACCTTCGTTACGCTGGATTCCGAATATTCATGCCATCATATCTCTCGGCAATATTCATTGTTCCCTTCTTCGGCCACTTGTACGTTACCTCGGAAGATAAAGATTACCCGACGCCATTTTCCCTCGTTGAACACCTGCAAAATGTAATTCGTGAAAAAATAATTAATTTCAAACTATATATTTATAATAGAAATTTCTATCGAAACGAACATTTTTAATTGAATTATATATATTACGATATATATGTGTAGACTATAGATACAAAATATGAAAATTGATTCCGTACATATAAAATATCTTTAATTGCATGCATCTTATCGAAATATATATTTTACATGGTGGTAATTTATGTTGCGTGATCTTTATATTGCTAGATGAATACGTAATCAACAAATAGATAATATCGTAGAATCGATGTAGCCTGGTCTAGTAGGCGAATAAGGGAGAAAGGAGAGAGATTGGAAGAGGAACGAGAAGAACAGGGAACAGCGAGATAGCGCTGAGTTACATCTCTCAATTATTTGATAATGCCGCCGACACCGCGCTGAGGGGATCTCGTTAAAACTTAAAACGAGCTCTCCCGTAATCTCCTCAATGTTTATACTTGATTCGTAAATCTGGGCGAATCTCGGTGGTGTTATCGCTATAGCAACCGAGAGGAGGAACAATAGATAATATAAACTTTTTAAATTTATAACAATATTTATATAAATTATCGATTTTCTATTTTCGAGCTAATTTAAACACGCTATAAATAACGAAATAATTTCTCAAAGATATACGAGTAAAAAGAAAGGAGAGAGAGTTACATATATATAAAATATATAAATATTTGTATTTTTATATTTTGCAATGTGATAGAGGCTTAAACAGCATCGTATAATGATAATTTATAATCTTATATCGGAATTTTATGCTCTAAAAAAAGCTTGTATTATGTACAACTCTACCTATGCGGCTACTCTGCATTTAAAAGGATTCATTAAGAGCCGAAGGCGCTTGTAGGGAGACAAATGGCAAATTGGATAAATGAATCCCGATGGCCGGTCGAAGTCGTTAAGGGCGGTCGAACAAGCAACTATATCAGCGATAGTCACGGAGATTACTCAGCTCGCGCTTTGTCCGCTCGTTTGCCGTCCATAAATAGAGCGGCGAAATAAAGAAAGAAGGAAGGAAAAAGCCGGCTCGCACATAACGCCAAAATAACGAGCACACACCGTAGAAACCTGTCGGAGCTACATGAGGACGTGAGAGACAGTAGGAAAGGGGAAGTGTTAGCGGAAGGGTGAGATGTGGAAGGCTCGAGCGAGATGGGATTAGTTGTTGGATGGCACGACGGTCAGGGGCCGGGTACATCTAGATTAAGATGCATCGGAAAGAAAGAGAGCCGGGGACAAGAGACGAGGACGAGGAGACGAGAGGAGAGTCGGTCCCCTTTTAGGTTCAAGTGACGAACGACATCATGGGATTTTGAATGTCTCTGACTGTCCATGGGTATCGCTGACCTCCTCGTGGGTCTTTTTCGCTCGAGGGAGGAGCCAAACGACTGGCAGAGAACTCTCCTCGCACGTGATGTACGAGCACGGGGACCACCCTTGATGATCAAATCCCGAATCTTCCAGCCGGATTCACACAAAAATCATATTTATCGTCTTGTCTACCTGTGTCGTTCCTCTTTCACCTTTATGACCGACAGACGGATATTCGTTTTCATTTTTTATCTCGAGCCACCCATTACGACTTGCACGGATAATTGTCATGTAAATTCATATGGAGGAGACACTCGTGGTTTCGATTAGCGTACTGAAATAGATATGAATATATAATGAATGAGTTTTATGTGAAAGAGAGAGGGAGGGGATATTTGTCAAGAGTTCTGCGGTAACATGAGAATATTATACTAGATGGATATCTTTCTACCGTAAGATAGTATATCGTTGAAATATAATTTTGATTTTATCTCAAAGCATTTTTGGCAAGATGAAGAGATAGAAACAAGTTTCATAAAAATAAACTTAAATTGTCGTGTCTTTTATAAATAATAAATTAAATCAATTAAATAAATTCAATCAATTCAATCAATCGCGAATTTTCCATGCCTTTAAATAAATTCTCAAAATTTATATGAGGGAATTATAAATTAAAATTGATTAAATTTATTTTATAATTAAATAAATTCAATCAATTTTGATTTTTTTATAACTCTGTTATACAAATTTTGAGAATTTATTTAAAGGCATGAATATTCCATGAAGTAAAGAAACATGAAACATTTTTATTCTTTTACAAAAACAACGCGGTAGCGAAAAAAGCTTTGAAATAATATAATCGATTGTTATTATTTTTCTTATTCAAATTAAAAGCATGCAACCACAATCGATCATTAAATTTCACCGTTACTGCTTTTTATTTACAAGTTACTCCCCTGTTTCTCATGTAATGGCAATAGATGTGTCGCAAGGAGGGTTGTGTGGAATAGATGTAGGAGAGCAGAGGTTCTGTTGAACCAGGGCCATTCGAAGGGACGAACGCCATTCAATAACTCAAATCCGACTCAATTTTGCGGGAGCAAAGTTTGCGCGGATGATATGGATACACAAAACTAACTGGATTTATCGACTTTTCAAATTCATCGCGACGCGATCTGGTGTTAGTACGATCTGGTACAGTACTACAATGGGCGAAAATGCAATTTAGAAACTCGCAGATTCCGTCTCTATAGAAGTTTTGACGCGCGCGGAACGCCCGAGATTTTCAGCGTTGCCCGAAATTATGCAACGGGAATAATTGAGACATAATACAACTCCCGATAATACCGTCGGTATGAAGAATCGAATCGTAAAAAATCTCAACCTGGCAATTTCGTGCACGCCGCGCCCGCGGGAGGATGAGAAATGCCGGCAATGCTCGCGCGCATTAAGGGGGCTGTAGGGAACGGCGCCGTAATGAATTAAGGGAAATCAGAAATTGCTTTAAATAGCACCGTAAAAATAAAGTTCGTTTAAAGAAGGGGAACCCCATCGGGGCGGGAAACGCGACCCCGCGCGGATCGAGGAGAGGAGCGGCAGGACGAAGGGAAGAAGGAGGCGACGCACAAACACCTCGGGTCCCGGATCGCGGACCCGGAGGGAAGGGGGGTGCTAAGTCGGGTGCGGCGGGTGCGGAATGTGTAAGCGCGGAAATTGCCGAGAAACGCGTATTAAAATCGCTGGATTTAGTGCGGAGATAAGCCGCAGCGGAGGAACTGGCGAGGAAGGGGGGTGGGGTGGGGGGGTGCGGGGGAGAAAAGAAAAACTCTCTTTTACTTGCGCATTGCTCCGTCGTCTTTCCGTAATCGTTATCCAAAGCCCCGAGCCTAGATGACTACGTCACCAACCTACCCACCAACACCGATATCCGACGACGTTACCCGGACTCTCTCGCGCTCGGTCCTCAAGAATCCAACTCCTAACATTCGCATCATTTAAGTCGCTATGCACACTTCCGCTTGCTCATTCTTTTCTTCTTTACTGCGCGCGGCTTTGTGCATTTTCCCACGGAACGCTTTCCGTCCCGAAATGATTCGATGAAAATGTAAGTCGTTACCGTTTGCGTAAAGCTCGACGAATAACGATTTACTTTCTTCTTTATATCCTGGATGTAATAAGTTGTATGTTAATGTCTAATATATATGCGTTATATATTTATATAAGTGTCTCGATTATGATAAAAAACAGCAATGACGAGAATAATATAATAATGCAATAATAATGTTACACTGACAGAAGTAATGTGTTAATGTCAAAAGTAAGTTTGATCGTTGATTTTAGAACATTGTAATTCATAGATATAATATTATAGTAAATAGTTTGCATAAATAATTATTTGATCATATTAATCGAAGAGAATTTTGCACATATATCTTTATATATAATCGGGAATCTTTCTATGGGAAGTTATATTAAATCGAAATATAATTATTTGATTTACGAGACACATCATTTTTTCGCGAAGATTTGAAGACTTTAAAGCTTTTCTTAAATTACTTCAGAAATTATACATACCTATATAATTTATGTACAAAGCTTATGTTTAACCAGCGATGTCAAAAACGTGCCACACAGCTTCGATACTGACCCCTGCGTAGGATGCAGCACGACGTACTATAGCGCAAGGCCAGATGCTCGTGTAAGATCTATGAGAGAGATGCATAGAATTAATAAAATTTAAAATTAAAAATATGTAACATATTTGCGAGTTATGTATAAGGTTCTAGAAAATATCAAATTATATTTGATAGTAATGGAAATTAAACAGTTTTAGATAAACACGTAATAATGTATATAGTATGTACATTTTAAAAATATCTGTTTGAATTTTCTTAAAATAGTAGAAACTTTTCCTTAGAATCATATTTTTCCATGAAAAATACAAAAGGCTCTCAGTCATTGATATATTACGTTTTAAAAAGGAGATCATCGAATATACATACATTTGAAATACATGTCATATAATCTGTCATATTTTAATAAGTTTCACACAACATGATCGACAATTTTATTTATTGTTCATGGATTTATTTTTATGGGTCTTCACCTGAACCTGTCGTCGAATCGGCGAAGAAAAACCGGCACGCGTTCGAGTATATGTGTAACTGTATACCGTACAATCTCGTCGGAGGTAATAATCCATCGGAGGATTCCCCCTTACAGCACTATGCCCACTCAAATGGTCGTAGCCCGTGCTTTTATGCCGTCGTAAAAGCGCAGTAACAATTAATAAGTATCTCGTAAAAGCTATTGCCGTTGACACCTTTTTGAATGACAGGGGCGGGCTAAGATAGAGAGAGAGAAGGAGAGAAAGAGAGAGAGCACCGTCGTCGGCGCCCGTCAACATTCATGTTCTCTCCGTCAGATTTGTAAAAAGAAAGGACACCGGCTAAATAGCACGATGATTGTCCATAAATCTTATTTACGAATCGTTATTTTAAATAGACTGTTATGCCAACTATTCTATTCGAGCTACCTATCGCCTCTTCTGATATTTTAATGTCTCCTATGGTTTGCTCTTTATTAATGCGAAACTTAATGCGAAACTGCTACTATAAGTAAAGAAAAGGTAAAATATATAATAGCAGATTTTATATAGGCTTTTTGATATATTGTCAATAAATGCTTTTAATATTAACATATTTATTATCTCTTATATATTAAATTTTTTATTAATTATATGCATAAAATGTGTGATTTATATTCGCAGATTAAATTTATTACTATGTTTTTAATAATTGATGCTTGAAATGATTATAATTACGTGTAATTAAATCTGCATTTCCATTATTTTTGTAAAGATTCTTTACGAAAATATCAAGAGTGCCCTTTATTATTTTACGATTTTATATATGATATTTTAAAATAAAATAATTTAAGAGAAGAAACGAAAAACCAATATTCAAAGATATACAGTACGGATATTTTAAATTTAAAAATTCAATCTATTAGACAGTAGAAAAAAATATAAAAATTCCGAGAAATTCTCATTCTTTTCAATTCGAGAAATGATTGATTTGGCATGTAAATGTGAGCTGCTTTTCGCGCTTTCGACCGGAACGGATCTAAGATAAAACGCAGTAAATGTACATAACAGACAACAATTCCGAGCTGGCATTACGGCGTTTCACGAGTTGCGAAGGGAACAAGAGAACAGACTAGATAATATTACGCGGGCCGGATATAGAGAAACGGTAGCCACAAACCCGCGGTCGGGTTTGCGTCGTTACCTTAATTAAGTTACATGCTGGTCGCATTGTTCCGAATATACATATAAATGTCAGAGCGCAGAAGGTAGAAAGGAAATATTAAATAATTACAATAGGAGATAGTTTTCTCTCCTTGTCAAACTTTCGCATGACCGTTATATATATAATAATAATCTGTTAAACCCCTACAATATTATATAAAAAATTCACATTTTATAATTTATATAATTTATTCCGGAAAATGGAGCGTAAAGAGATCGCTTATTATTGCTATAAATTATTTGTCGTAAAAAAAACACGGGATGTATCTTATATCACGGGACAGAAAATAATATATAGTTCGTATATATATAAAATAATAAAGTAGCATTTTCGCGAGTTATTACCTTAGTACGCGTCCACATTATTCGGATTTAGGGAATAATTCGAGATATCGATGGAATAATTAATTATGCCCTACTGAATGGGATTGGATCGAGTATACCGGTGCTCTACGTCGACATTTCTGAGGGTTACGAACGAGGTGCGTATAGAGGTACGAGGGGTTGAGGCATCCGGGTGGCGCTAAGCCAGCTTTCTCAGCTGCGGAAGGAGTCGGCGGGGACGAAAGGAGAAAGGAGGGATGGAGGGCAGAGCAATAGCCTTTACGACTCGGCCATAGTATCAAACGATCTATCCTGCCATTAAGATAGTCTCAGAACGATTCGGTAACCTTTGGGTCCGTGGAAAGCGATACGCTATCGACTTCGTAGCTCGGCCGCGGCATTTTGTGAACGGATAAGGGAAGGGCGCTCTTTCCCTCTGCCGTTCGTCCATCCTTTCGCCCATCTTCATTTCGTCTTCATCCTCGGATGAAGGTGCCAATAAGGTTGACTGCTGTCTCTAGAAAAAAAAGAGAGATCTTATCTAGCTTTGCGATCTCCTCGATCAAATCGCGCGTTCTGAACTGATCTCTCCTCAATTCGTCAGCCAGTATTCGGATCGATTTTCGACTTTAATCGAGGCGAAATATTATATAATAATATATGCATCTCGAGATCTTGATACGCCATGAAAAAATAAAATCCAATTGGGTATATTTCATATCGGCATTTGAAAAATTTAATCGGAGATTCAAAAGTAATGCATTAGAAATTATGATAAAAAAATGTATGATATATGAGGTAAAATTCACAGCTAAATATCTTTGCAAATTTAAAAAGTAGCAATTTAGATGACCGCGTATCTCTGCAATGAGTCTAAAATGCGTGTTTTTTTTTGGCATTTGATAATACGCGAGACGTTCTTTAAAAAGTTTCTAAATGTCTACATCATAGACAGTACGTTAAAACGAGCCCTGCTGCTCATCAAAATAATTTCTTTCGGCATGAGAACGCATGGATATTATACAAAATGCAATACAAATGTTCGCCGAGAGGTGAATCCCGGGGTGGAGGAGGAGGGTGGTAGTCTGGAAGGGAGGATACCATGCATATACATCTAAGGGAATGGAGCGTCATGCGCCAAGAAAGTGGGGACAGGGCTTGCGCGGCAACGGTAGCTTGGGAAGCGCCGTGTTTGACGGGGGTTTTCCCCGGCGCGAGAGAAGAGGGGTACGGTACCGCGAGAGTTTCCAGGGTAGTCCAGGGGTGGAAAAGGGGTGGAATGGAATGGAATGGAGTCGAGCGTAGTGCCCGTAGGGCGAGGCGGTAGTGCCGAGGGGCCAAGGGGACCGAAGATTGATAATGCAATTCCAAGACTGCCATTATCCCCGTCCACCCGACTCGCTCCGGCGCTTCTATCTTTTTTGCTTCTGCGTTTCTCTTGCCCACTTCTCCGCCCCTCCGCCTCCCTCTCTCTCTCTCTCTCTCTCTCTTTCTTTCTCTCTACCGTCGTACGAGGACACGGGCGAGTTTTAGAAATGTTAACTCCATAAATGTCACGCCGTTCCTTTTTTCTTCGGAAAAGGAGAGGGCAGGTAGGTGGTCTGATGTACAATCTCGCTTATAACTGATAGAAGATATTATTCGCCGGAATTAACCGTCCCGGGTAAACGCTGAGTCATTTCAGGCTCATTACATTAGCTTTTTTATGATAACTTTGTTTTGCGACTAAAACGTGCCATCGACACTTTCAAGATTATTCATTATACTCGAGAAGTGAGATGAGAGAGAAGAGAAGAATTGGCAATTGTTTTTTTTTTACTAGTATTTTTCTAACTTGGAAGACAACGTAACGTAGAACCGAAGAAAACTCATCCTGAATCTTAATACCGGATATGAAAAGAAGCAATTCTAAAAGCCCGAGGTCAAGAGAAGCCCGAAGATTGATAATCCAATTTCAAAATTCCCATTATCTCCAACCATCCAGTTATCCCTCCGGGCCTTCTAGATCCTCCTAGCTTTTTCCTCGGGATCTTTCACTTCTGAACTTATCTTTTTCGAGAGGACGGTGAATTTCATAATCTTTTTCTTGCTATCGCAAAGTCTCTATGAAATATACGGCCCTTATTTTCTAGAAATGATTATAATGTGTGCAACTTTACGCGAGATGTCGCGAAATCTTTTCTGAAACATTCTCGGAGAAATATTCCTCGCGCGAAATATCTCTTTCGCCTTTCGTCTGATATCCTCTGGGAGATGCTGCCGTTGCCCTGGGAACCCCCTCGGAACCGTATTTTCTTGGCAGAAAAGCTCGCGTTTTCGCCTCGCTTCCCAAATCCCGCCAGGAAAGTTTTCGCCGACTGTGTGTTTGAATGGATGTTGAAGCAGAAAGCGAGGGGGTAGTCTACAGTACGTGCTGGTTGTGCAAGCTTTTCGCAAAATACGATTATAACGATAATTGTATCTGCCGAGTACCGAGCATTATATATCTTATTTATTCTTTCGTTATATTCTGTGATCGTAATGCAGATTTCGTCAAATCGAGACATAAATATAGAATGAAATACAAAATATGTGATCAATGACGTTTGCAAAAATACATTAATTCTGCAAATCGAATGCTCTTTTATAATTGTTATAACAAAAATTTTGATATACGTAGAATTTTGAAATAATTTTAAGATATCTTAAAATTCTTGCGCGAAAATTAATAGAGATTGTTGCGTTAAAAGACAAATAGAGTCAAGGAGCAACAAGAAGTACCTTTTAAGTTCTGTTTTGTACATCGAACGTTGTCAGCTGATGGCGAAGCTGAAGAGATTGAGACCTAACTCCTGCTGAGTACACGATGGTTGCACCATAATATTGCATCAGTTCATCGAGTTGCACTCTAGAACTACACGTGATATTGGCCTGTCGTTGCTCGGGCACTGTTCCTAGTTTCGCGATCTTGTTCTCTTCTCACCGATAAAGGTTAAGCTCAAAAGTCGTATGATAAAGTCGTATGACGAAGTCGTATGATGAAGAGCTTATCGCCATCTAAAACAAGATACGAATTAAAAAAGAATGAAGAGAAATGTTTATTATTAGTTTTAAAGGCTGGAAAAATTATTGATAAAAATGTTAAATATTTAAAAAAAATTTTCTCGGATCCTTTTATCTCTCTTTTCTGTTCATCGAAACTTTCATAACGTGAGAGAATCCTTTATTATAATGTAGATTGAATAAAAGAAGAGCTAGTTAAAATTATGCAAGTTTGAAAAATGATGCTATCTGCAAAGTCATATGTATTCATATATGTGCTTATTAACAGTTATACAGTAAAACAACGGAAGGCCGTAGAAACAGAAGAGTTTACCGGGAATAGCGGCGCATTGAGGAGGAGATAGGAAAGTGTTAATCCTACCGAGCAACTTTGCTGTAGGGAACTTGCACGCTCATGCCGAGAGGATTTCCATCCAATAAATTTGGAGCTTTGTATAAGCTTTCCACGCTTGAGTTTAAATCCCGGCGTTGGTACGGGCTTACGTGCAACTACGTTGGAAATGTTATATATCCGCAGTGGAAAACTCACTTTTCCATTGCTGTTTGTTAGAGGAGATGTTCGCAAGTCGAATAAAGATAATTTAATAGAGAGAGAAAAGCTACAATTAATACGTTTTATATAAACATTTTATAAAATTTAAGCGCAAGTTTCATCTTCTCCGAGTAATTTTTCTGTACAGAGCGATTAGAAAGTCGTCTAAATGATGTGATAATCGTAAAAACATCCTGGATTTTATCAGTTCACCGAGTATCTGAAAAATCTGCCGGTGGAGAGACGATATCATTGCGTATAGGTATTTATAGGCATAGGTCTGGTCGTCACCCTCTTATGCGCAAATACCTGGTGTGAGACTAGGCGGAGGGAAAATTTTCGTGATCTCTTCGTGTACGGCTCCCCGGGCGCCCTTTCAGTCCGAGGCGGGTCTCGCCTGGAACGCGTAACACGCATTTTTATCAAACGTTACGAGCACCGGAACGAGCAGGATGAAAACCAATATCTTACTACCGCATGGGAATTCGCTCCAATGCCGACGTACTATTTCCCGTCTGGGTTCGATCCCTTGTTTACATACCTTTCGTAATCATGCGGTCTTTCATCGGAACTTCCCCTAAAACGTTCAAGACGTATAAAAACGCTCGTACAATGGCAGAGTTGCGATGAATTTTGGAAGATAACGAATGCGAAAATTTGATCGATTATATCGATCATATTAGACGTGCGTAGAAAGTACGATAGAATTCAATGAGGTAAACTGACTTTCTCAAAAACGGAAGTTCATCCCTAAGAAGCCCCAAGGGAGTCATTTGCGTCGTTTATGATCCGATCCCTCATTTTTCCCAGAAGAAATCGCTTCCCTATTGCCATGATGAGATTCCGACTGTAATAATCTAGAGAACGGAAGCCATTTTGTCTGGTATGCCAATAATGTGGCCGATCATTATCTTGTTCTTGATTGCAAACCGTCGAAGCACATCGCGGATTTCATGATGTAGAGTCCCTCGTGCTGCTACGGTTCTTAATTTTTATCACTTGTACGACGTTTCATTTAATAATTGTCATGTATAATATTTTCTAGCACGATCATGATTTACTTAAATAATATATTTTTATCTCTAGAGTATAAAGTCATAATTCATCATGTATTTATATCTTTATTAAAATTTATTTTAGTATTTATTTACATTATTTATTTTATTTAATATTTATTTAAAATTATATATATTTATTTTATTTAATATTTATTTAAAATTATATATATTTATTTTATTTAATATTTAGTTATTTAAAATTAATTTTAATATATTAATGCCCAAATATAATCGTTTTTAAATGAAAAAGTTTTCAAGCGGAAATAAAAGCTACAATATTTGTAAAACACTTTTTAATAAAAAGCTTTTATTTCATGAATAATATGATATACGAATATATTTTGCAAATTTCATGTTTTTAAACATATATTTCTTTTTAAAATATATGTATAATTTAATGGCATTTTAATTTCGTTAAATTAATATTGAAACGCGATACGCGCCACGTTTTCTTGTATTGAAGAATTTTGTTGTGAATTCCAGCAGGAATTTAATGAGCTCGATCGGTATTCAATGTGTATCCTAATGAAGCTGATTTTATGACCTTTAGTCTATTCGCAAAAAGCAAAGCCAATTAATTATCCGGGTCATTCAAAACGCCTGGTAAGCGGCGTCTTTTATGTGGATTTGCTGATATCCGTATAATTTTACGAGGTACAAACTGGACTTTCCAACTGTAGAGTATGAATTATGCATATCATTAACAGGATCCATAATTATAACATGAACAATAAAATATATTACAACAAAAAATGTCTACAAGCTTAAGTGTGTAACAAATTAAAGTGACAAACATATTGAAAATTTTTCTTTCATTAAAAAAGTCATACACTCAATTAAAGTTTTCAAGTAGAATCATAATCTTTTTAAGACTATTAATAACTCAGTTTTTTTAATAAGTTGATTCTTTTAATAATTTTACATATAAAGTATTAAAATACAAGAGAAAAAAGAGAGGTGGTAATTAAAAGATAAATGTACAAGAATTACATAAAATTGCTTCGACATTATCTTTACCTTTTAATTTCAAAATTCTTGTCGCTCTAATTGTTTGCATATTTAAAACAGGCTTTTATTTGTAATATTTTTTATATTAATATTCAAAGTGTTCTAAAACTTGTACTTGCAATGTATACCTATAAAACGAACTTAAATCATTAAACGGCTATCATTTCCACGGCTGAGATATGTCTCTTAATTAAACGTTCGGCAAATAAAATTGTCAGCCATAGTAATTAGTTTCGCGATAATAAAATTTCTTGTGCCGTTAAAAAGTGACGTTTTACGAGTCATTTTACGGGAGTAAGTTCGTGATAATTGATTCAATCGGCAATGAATATTCAGTAGCGAATCACAGCTGGCAAGTATACCGAAACGTCGCGAATATCGCTTAGCATAAATTAAAACCGACTATGTTGCGAGAGACGAGTCATTCGATAAAATTTCCATGGGGATGGGAGTGTGTTGAAACGAACGATTGTCGATGGTCGAGCTAGTTCGGGAGATTACGAGTAACCTCTGGATCTAAGCAAGCGAATCAGGTAGAGGATACGGTCCGATAAACACCGCGCTACTCCACTAGAAAGCATTTCTCGCCCCGATATACAGCCTATCGTAAGCTCGGTCACCTATCGAGCAGCTTCATCTAAATGAAGCCATTTATTCCTGGCGAATTTGATTGCGATTACTTGCTTAGCAATACATAGCGACTCATGTTAGAGATTTACAAATTAGAACATTTGTCTCGCGTAATGGCAAATTCAACTACCTCTCCTTATCACTAGTTACTTCACGTTCTCAATCTCGATTTATATGTAAAGTAAATAAATGATAAAGCTGTCATGTTGCGTTTCGCGTAAAGCTTCTCTCCCACAGGAAGTTGTTAAAATTAAAATTTTTTACCTTCAATTCTTATCGCGCGAAATTTTTGATTAATTTTTGATGAAGACGATCTTTATCTCGTGATGAATAATTCTTGAAAAATATTTTACTCTGCATTCGCACTTGAAAACAACGCATATTTTTAAGACACATATTATGCCTCCTGAAACAGATTTATGCAGATCCCTTACGAGAGATATCGCTGCTGAATTAAATGTCTCATTTGATTTTAGCAGCGCGATATAATCGAATTCATTCGTCTTTGACGAATGGTAATATCAAGCATGAAACTATACTTTCGCCGTCGGGCAATTGGCTATTCGCGATACATCGTAAGATTAATATCGAAACTCGCGGTACCATATCACTTGGCGAGCATTCGCGTACATTGAGAGTTAATTCAACGCAATACTTTGCACTTTTATTGTACTTCGCACATCATAAGAGCCCAACGTCATTGGAAAATGTTGATGTGAAATCGCGAGCAGTCGTTATTGCGTCGAGAATTGAAGTGACATTACGATTTGCGAATCGCATTCCGCGAATTCTGTATGTTCATACAGCATCCACGTGGCACGGCATACATGTAAATTATACGTCACTATTTGCCTCTGGTTCGTGCCAACTTTGCGTCAGTGTCTAGAAGACAAGAGATCTCCTCTCGACCGACGGCTGTGTAAGAGCATCTGGGACCACATCTCCAACGCTTTTGGATGGCATGGTCGGGGTAGATTAGTGGAGGTGGAACACGTGTTCGATGCTCAGGGCGGACTTCACATCGTTGAACTACTACTACTACTACTACTACTACTGGGTGGTAGAAAAATAACAAGCGCGGGGCACGCGGATGGAGAGTATGTAAGACGTCGTTACGCACATCCGGCGCCGCAACCGAATTCGAATCCGAACTCACGAGTTTCGACACCCTCGCCGAGAGAGAGGGAGAGGGAGGAGAAAGGGAGAAAGGGTATTCCATCTTCCTTATATATAAGCGACTGCCAGGAGACCCTGTAAAAACGTCTAAATCACATCTACCGAGATATTAAAGTACCTTACGATGCGGATTCTCGTTTATTCCGCGCCCAACCCATCTTCCTCCTGGCAACGCACCAAATTGAAAAGCACAGATGCAAAGTTTCCTTAACTCGGACCTGGCTCGACTCGCAACTTACGGAGGAATATGTATTACGGCGAAGTAATCCAATCCCGGTAAACGTTACCGCGAGTTTCCATTGATTCATCGAACAATCTGCGAGAGAGCACTTCCGTTTGGAACGATCGGCCGGATTAGATGATTTTGAGTCGTTTCAATTTGGAAAAGCGTAGAAAGCACGGACTAAATTAGCTTTCGGCCTTTAATTCAACGCGCTGCGCCGACTACTCGACTCTTACACGTTATATATTGGTAGAATTCATGTAGTTTCCATTCTTTTCCACGGATATTTTTGACAATAATATATCGAAAATTTAACTTGCGCTTGAAAAATTGCAAGTCTACACGTCAATAATAATTATACTTTCAC